GCCTCTCTCAGTCAGTATATGGACCCTCTCTCAGTCAGTGTTGGCCTCTCTCAGTCAGTATATGGACTCTCTCAGTCAGTGTTGGTCTCTCTCAGTCAGTATATGGACTCTCTCTCAGTCAGTATATGGACTCTCTCTCAGTCAGTGCTGGTCTCTCTCAGTGAGTATATGGACTCCCTCTCAGTCAGTGTTGGTCTCTCTCAATCAGTATATGGATTCTCTCTCAGTCAGTGTTGGCCTCTCTCAGTCAGTATATGGACTCTCTCTCAGTCAGTGTTGGTCTCTCTCAGTCAGTATATGGACCGTCTTTCTCAGTATCGGCAGTGTGTGGTTCCTCTCTGTCTCTCCCTCTGTATTGTCTCTCAGTGGTCTCTGTGTCTCAGCATTGACTTTCAGTGGGTGAAACTCTCATACAGTGTCTGCCTCTCTCCATAGTTATCTGGCTGTCTCTCTGTGAATGTCAGTGCAGGGCCACGGGCAGTGCAGACAGTAGGGGCCCCAGTGGGTGATAGGACAGTGGCAGATGCAAGGGCGAGAGTGTGCTCCGCATATCTGGCCATCAGTCCCACCATGCCCCCCACCTACCTGGTCACTCAGCAGAGATATAGCCCCTTCCTGCCCGAATATAGGCATTGAAAGCCCCCCCCCCCCCCCGTGTACAGATATTAACCCCTTTCTGCCTGACATTGACTCCTTCCTAACTACCCTCATCATTAACCTCTTACGGCCCGGATATTATGATTAGCAAAATGGGCTGCTCAGTCTACAATACCCGTGCCTATTTGTTGTCCCAGTCCGGGCCTGCATTCCTGCACCTACTCAGATGGGTAACAGGAGTGCCAACAATACAATACTCTTGTCTTTTTGCCAGTTTTATAGTATGGCTAGAGCCTCTCTCAGGTTTTTACTGCTGCTTCTGTACCCATTTTGTTTTTTCTTCTATAGTCGCTGAACCAGGAAGTGAGCAAAATCTCTTCAGTGGGGACACAGACAGTAGAAAAAGGAGGAGGACCTCGGTCAGTTTTATTGCTTTCTTTGTCTCCATTGAAGAGAGCCGCTCATTTTCTGTCACAGAGGTTATAACCCTTCCCTGTTCTAACCAAAACCAGAAAATTTATTATGGCCGGTGTCAAGCTTTTCAGAAACCTGAGAGAAATTCAGTGTATGCCTCTGGTAACCTCTTCCTAAAAATATGCTAGCTGCCTGACTGCCATTGGCGTTGGAGAGTGCAAAAAGCATGCAGCAAGTAAAGTCAAAGTGAACTCTGAAGCCTTGATCTGCGTGCTTGCTTCAAGTCAGAAAGCATTGAAGATTTTGTGTCATCATGGCAGTCAGGCAACTAGCATTTTCCAAAAGAGATCAGCAATGTCACCTTTCATACTTCTTTCAGTATACAGTGAGTGAAAGAAATACTGTTCCTTTCATTGATGATGGGCAAACATTCCCTTACATTGGTGTTAGTGGAGACCAACAGTCCTTTATATTGCTTTGTCAGTAGAGGGAATACATTCTCTTACATGGTGTTTAGTGGAAAGCTAAAGGGCACTTTACATTGGTATCAGTGGAGTGCAAACAGTCCCTTAACATTTAAGTAATGGAACAAACAGTCCCATATAAGTGTCAGTGAAGGGCAAACAGTCCCATATATGTGTCATGAAGGGCAAACAGAACCCATTTATTGTCAGTGAAGGGCAAACAGTACTTAGTACCATCCTTTTACAGTTATATATGCTTTTAAACGTCAGCTTGACACAAGGGCAAATCTAGGGTCCCATATATAAGTGGGCAGTGTTCAAGGGCAAACAGTCCCATATATAAGTCTGTCAGTGCGATGGGCAAACAGTCCCATATATAAGTTGTCAGTGAAGGTCAAACAGTCCCATCACGTATATAAAGTGTCAGGAAGGGCAAACAGTCCCATTTATAAGTGTCAGTGGAGTGCAAACAGTCCCCTTATATTTAAGTCAGTGAAGGACAAACAGTCCCATATATAAGTGTCAGTGAAGAGCAAACAGTTCCTTAAATTGTTTTTGTCAATAAAGGGCAAAAATTCCACTATATTGTGTCAGTGGAAGACAAACGGTCCCTTATATTGGTGTAAGTGGAGGACAACAGTCCCATATATAAGTGTCAGTGGAGGGCAAAGAGTCACTCATATTGGTTTCAGTGAAGGGCAAAACGTCCATTACATTGGTGTAAGTGTAGAACATCAGTTCCATATATACGTGTCAGTGGAGGACAAACAGCCCCTAAATTGTTTTCCTAAGGTGTCTCAGTGGAGGGCAAACAGCCCCCAAAATATTGTCAGTGGAGGGCAAACAGACCCGAGATTGTTGCCAGTAAAGGGCAAATAGTCCCTTGTATTGGTGTAAGTGTGGAAACAAACATTCCATAATATTTGGTGTAATAGGAGGAAAACTAGCTTATATGTTGATTGCTATATATTTTAGTATCAGTAGAGTGAAAAAGTGCCTTGTATTGGTGTCAGTGGAGGGTAGCCAGTCCCGTTTATTGGTGTCAGTGGAGGGCGAAAAGTCCCATATGCAGTATTAGTGTCAGTGGAGTGTAAATAGTCCCTTATTGGTGTTGTGGTGAGCAAACAGTTCCTATATTGGTGTCATTGGAGGACAAACGGTCCCTTATATTGGTGTCAATGGTTTGCAAACAGTTCCTATATTGGTGTCAGTGGAGGGCAAAGAGGCCCTTATATTAGTGTCAGAGGAGGGCAAACAGTCACATATATTGTTGTCAGTGGACGGAAAACACTCACATGTATTGACATTAGAGGAAGAACAAACAGTCCCTATATTGGTGTCAGTGGAGGGCAAACAGTCACATATATTGTCAGTGGAGGGCAAACACACATGTATTGACATCAGTGGAGGACAAACAGTGCCTTATTGGTGTCAGTGGAAGGCAAACAGTCTTTTATTTTTATATCAGTGTAGGGCAAACATTCTCTTATATCAGTGGCAGTGGAGGGCAAACAGTCCCTTATATTGGTGTCGGTAGAGGGCAAACAGTCCCTTATATTGGTGTCGGTAGAGGGCAAACAGTCCCTTATATTGGTGTCGGTAGAGGGCAAACAGTCCCTTATATTGGTGTCAGTCAAACCCCTTTTATATTGGTGTCAGTGTAGGGCAAACAGTCCCTTATATTGGTGTCAGTGTAGGGCAAACAGTCCCTTATATTGGTGTCAGTGTAGGGCAAACAGTCCCTTATATTGGTGTCAGTGTAGGGCAAAGATTCTCTTATATCAGTGGCAGTGGAGGGCAAACAGTCCCTTATATTGGTGTGGGTAGAGGGCAAACAGTCCCTTATATAGGTATCAGTGGAGGGCAAACAGTCCCTTATATTGATTTCAGTGTAGGGCAAACATTCTCCTATATCAGTGGCAGTGGAGGGCAAACAGTCCCTTATATTGGTGTCAGTGGAGGGCAAACAGTCCATTATATTGGTGTCAGTGGAGGGGGGCATACTGTCCTTACATTGGTGTCAGTGGAGGGGGGCATACTGTCCTTACATTGGTGTCAGTGGAGGGGGGCATACTGTCCTTACATTGGTGTCAGTGGTTACTTACGTATGAGCCACTATTTGGCCTGTGCCCTGTGCAGCCACCAGCCTCCTTTAGGTAAAGCTCTGGAACTACGCAGGCACTATCGGTTGGAGATCACTCCCTGACAGCGCTTGCTTAGCTCTGTTGTTGATGATGTGGGTGATGAAATGCTCCGTGTTCCAACACCCGCCACTCTCTGCCACTCCACAACCTTTAAGGGGACCAGTCATCCCCAATACCAGTCTTGTATGACCACTAATATTGCTGACCTCTCTATGAAAATGCTAGTTGTCTGGCTGTCATGTAAATCCACAGGTTTCCTTTCCAGCACAAAGATACCCAAAGTGCAGGTATCCATATCAACCAATCAGATTTCATTTTTCATCAGCGCTGTCAGAACAATGAAATCTGGTTGCCATGGGTTCCTTCAGATGAACATGTGCTTTGTCATACTAAGCCTTCAGAGAATATGCGAAGACCATATTTTGTCTGCCGTTGTTTGATAAGACCTTTTATCTTCAAAGACAGTAAGAAATGACACATTGTTATCATACTACAATAATAATGTTATGTCTGATAAGTGTCATTAAAAAAAAAAAAAAGAAATCTTTTAACAAATACTGTAACAATTTCCCCATTCTGAGCAGAGAGCTTTTTATGAGAAACACAAAAAAGATTCCGTCGGTGACAGACCTTTAATGCCGATGGGTTGTAACATGTCCGGGACAATACTGCTACATTATCCTCATACAATACATACCAATTTAGTTCAAAAGACATGTTTACAGTTCTCATCAGAGGGAAAAAAGAAAAACAATGTTTCTTTGGTCTCACGGGAACCTGTGTTTGAAAACATCTGTGACCAAAACACCTCGCTATGCTTTACTCTGTCACTTAAAGGGGAATTCAAGCTTAGACCATGGTGTCTTCAAACAGATTCAACAATCCCGCAGTCTCAGAACTCCCACATTGTAATAAATAGGGTAGAGGAAGCTGTAATGAGATATCAAGGTGGCCAGAACAGCCTTCGTCAACCTCTTTCCCTGGAGGAACCCTTGAATTCGTTTTTTGAGGTCTATGGGTAAACCCTGCTTTAACCACTTGCCCTCCAGAGGATTTACCCCCCTTCATGACCAGGCCATTTTTTGTGATACAGCACTGCATTACGTTAACTGACAATTGCGCGGTCATGCAATGCTGCACCCAAATGAAATTTATTTCCTTTTTTCCCCACAAATGAAGCTTTGTTTTGGTGGTATTTGATCACCTCTGCGGTTTTTATTTTTTGCGCTATAAACAAAAAAAATCCGACAATTTTGAAGAAAAAAAACAATATTTTGACTTTTTGCTATAAAACATGTCCAGTAAAAAATTTTTAAAAAATCTACTTTTGTCATAAATTTAGGCCAAAATGTATTCTGTTACATGTCTTTGCTAGAAAAAAAAAAATCCCAATACGTGTAAATGAATTGGTTTGCATGAAAGTTATAGCGTTTAGAAATGGCGGTATACAGGTGAAACTCGAAAAATTGGAATATCGTGCAAAAGTTCATTTATTTCAGTAATGCAACTTAAAAGGTGAAACTAATATATGAGATAGACTCATTACATGCAAAGCAAGATAGTTCAAGCCGTGATGTGTCATAATTGTGATGATTATGGTTTACAGCTCATGAAAACCCCAAATCCACAATCTCAGAAAATTAGAATATTGTGAAAAGGTGCAATATTCTCGGCTCAAAGTGTCCCACTCTAATCAGCTAATTAAGCCATAACACCTGCAAAGGGTTCCTGAGCCTCTAAATGGTCTCTCAATATGGTTCAGTAGGAATCACAATCATGGGAAAGACTGCTGACCTGACAGTTGGGCAGAAAACCATCATTGACACCCTCCATAAGGAGGGAAAGCTCAAAAGGTAATTGCAAAAGAAGTTGGATGTTCCCAAAGTGCTGTATCAAAGCACATTAATAGAAAGTTATGAGGAAGTTAAAAGTGTGGAAGAAAAAAGCGCACAAGCAGCAGGGATGACCGCAGCCTGGAGAGTATTGTCAGGAAAAGGCCATTCAAAAGTGTTGGGGATTTTCACAAGGAGTGGACTGAGGCTGGAGTCAGTGCATCAAGAGCCACCACACACAGACGGATCCTGGACATGGGCTTCAAATGTCATATTCCTCTTGTCAAGCCGCTCCTGAACCTGGTCTGTTGCTCAGTGGTCCAAAGTCTTCTTTTCTGATGAGAGTAACTTTTGCATCTCATTTGGAAACCAAGGACCCAGAGTATGGAGGAAGAATGGAGAGGCACACACTGCAAGATGCTTGAAGTCCAGTGTGAAGTTTCCACAGTCTGTGTTGATTTGGGGAGCCATGTCATCTGCTGGTGTTGGTCCACTGTGCTTCATTAAGTCCAGGGTCAATGCAGCCGTCTACCAGGAGATTTTGGAGCACTTCATGCTTCCTTCCGCAGACGAGCTTTATGGGGATGCTGGCTTCATTTTCCAGCAGGACTTGGCACCTGCCCACACTGCCAAAAGCACCAAAACCTGGTTCAGTGACCGTGGGATTACTGTGCTTGATGGGCCAGCAAACTCGCCTGACCTGAACCCCATAGAGAATCTATGGGGCATTGCCAAGAGAAAGATGAGAGACATGAGACCGAACAATGCAGAAGAGCTGAAGGCCGCTATTGAAGCATCCTGGTCTTCCATAACACCTCAGCAGTGCCACAGGCTGACAGCTTCTATGCCACGCCGCATTGAGGCAGTAATTGCTACAAAAGGGGCCCAAACCAAGTACTGAGTACATATGCATGCTTATAGTTTTCAGAGGTCCGATATTGTTCTATGTACAATCCTTGTTTTATTGATTGCATGTAATATTCTAATTTTCTGAGATTGTGGATTTGGGGTTTCATGAGCTATAAGCCATAATCATCACAATTATGACAAATCACGGCTTGAACTATCTTGCTTTGCATGTAATGAGTCTATCTCATATATTAGTTTCACCTTTTAAGTTGCATTACTGAAATAAATGAACTTTTGCATGATACTCAAATTTTTCGAATTTCACCTGTATATACTGGAATTTTTTTTTGTAATACGAGTAATGGCAACGATCAGCGACTTATAGCGGGACTGCTGTGGGCATTCTGACACTGGGGGGAACTGACTAACTGCAACTGACATCCCCAGTGACACCAATACAGTAAGCAGTGCTAATAAAAAGCACTGCCACTGTACTCATGACACTGGGCAGGAAGGGGTTAACATCTGGGGCAATCAAAGGGTTAACTGTGTGCTTTTTTACTATTTTGTATGTGTGCGCTTTACTGTGTAAGCACGCTGGATTGTATTGCTCTGCTATGCAGAGCAATACACAGCAGCATGTCGGTGCTGACAGGGGAGAGATCTGTGTTGTTTACCAAAGAGCTCTCCCCTTTCACTGTTCCTTGGCGATCACCAGGTGCCAGAGGGGAATCTCCATCTAGGACCCGGTGATCGAGAGCTGTAGCTGCCAATGGCGGTACGTGTGCCCCGTACCCGGACATACAAAATCACATATACATGATTTTGCGTAGTCCTGCCACCCTGCAGCAGTAGTTCTGCTATAGGGTGGTCGGGAAGCGGTTAAATAATTTTTAGGGTTGCACCAATACCAGTTTTTTATTGGCAAGTTTGAGTAGGAATAGTTTCAGTCAAGTACTCGTCAATACCGAGTGCCGATACCTTTGCAGTGCGAATTGAGCCCATACAAAATGAATGGGCTGAAATTGCACTGCAAATAATGCATGCGATTTGAACAGGAATGTGGTGCAATTCCTGCCTGAATGGCATGTGGTTTCCTGCACAGCTCCTGTGTGAACCCAGGCTTGTCATAGTGACTTCATCCTGAGCTCACACAGGAGCGTTGTGGGAAACCTCCCTGCATGACGGGTTCCACCAGCGAAGCTCCGGTTCCCCATCCGACTGTAGACATTAGCGGGTGAGATTTTGGCTCCTCCTGCCTCTCCCAGAACTTTGTCATCTGCTCCCAGAGGCTCTCCCCCCAAGCTTTCAGTGGTTCAAGCCATCCACTGGACTCTCTCCCCATCCCCCCCCCCCAGTCTCACTGCACCAGATTGCTATGATCCCCCAATGTCAGAAATCGAAAACACACTTCACCGGTCCAGGGATTTAAAATGCTTGCGGCTTAATCTCCTGTCTGTATTGCTTAGCCAGTATGGTCTACAGAGATTCTAAGTGGTCAGCACTGTCACATGGATGGCACTGACCAATCAAAATCCATCATGCCCATAATGTCAGCACTGCGAGGAGAGGAGAAAAAGACGCCGGGATATCAAATCCCCAGACTGGTGAAGCAGCTTTTCAGGGTCTGACAATGGGGGATCATGGCAATCTGGTACAGAAGGACGGGGGGAGGGGGTCCAGTGTAAGGTCTCCTTACAGATTTCCTGTAAAGGTGAGCTTACACTATAAGCATGTGATGGTGGATGGCTCAAACCGCTGGAGGCTGGGGGAAGAGAACCACTGAAGGGGGCGGGGAACAGAGCCTTGGGAGAGGCATGAGACAGGGGGAGCCCAAGCCACAGCCACTAATGTCCACAGTCAGACCAGGAGCCCGAGCGTCGCTGGAGGAACCCATCATGCAGGGAAGTTTCCCACACCGCTCCTGTGTGAGCTCAGGATGAAGTCACTATGACAAGCCTGGGTTCACACAGGAGCTGTGCAGGAAACCACATGCCATTCAGACAGGAATCGCACTGAATTCCTCTTCAAACTGCATGAAATTATTTGCAGTGCGATTTCAGCCCATTTATTTTGCATAGGTTCAAATCACAACGCAAAGGTATCGGTTTCAGGTATCAAGAGCATTTGCATGAGTACGAGATACCAGTACCGGTGCAACCCTGATTATATTTTATCTACATTCCATTTTCAAATAGCATGATTTACAGTTAAAAAAATAAAGAATATGACATACATAGAATATTGGACACCAGGGCCCTTGCTCTATAGCTCAGTAAAAGACATGAAAAAAAAGAATAATAAGGTACAAAAAAGAAGCACAGACCTCAAAAATTGTTGTGTCCCCTATAGTATGTTATCAGTAGGGATTAGCTGGGGTTTGACTCTGGTTTCGGTCTGAATAACTCATTTAATGACCCAACTTAGAAGTCAGCTGTCAGTGCCAGGCCAATGAGCTGCAAACAGGGAATTCCCTGCCCCACAGTTGCATACACTCAAAGGGGCAGGGATGCTGGTGACATCATTGACCTAACATTGCCATGTGGCTGTAATAGGTCAATGATGATACAGTCAATCCCTGTACCCTAGGGTACTTGCAGCTGTGGGGTGGCAAATGTCCTGTCTGCAGCTGATGAATGACAGCTGTCTCTTGAGTTAAGCCGGCCATGCACGGGTCGAATTCCAAAATAATTTTCTTTTAAATATCTTTTCTAAGATTTTCGTTCGAATTTCACACCATTAGCGGGTCACATCAACGACTGATTTTTTGAGCGACCATCGAATTTGAGTGATCATGTATGTTGAAAATTTTTTGGAAAATTAACAAATTTCTAATTGACGATGGAAAAAGTGTGCGAGCAATGTAACTGAAAAAGAAATGAGCATGAGCAGTGACCTGGAAAGCAAAGAAAACTCTTGGAAACAAAAATTCTTTTCTTTAGCAACATGAGGTGAAATTAAAGGCTTGGTTGGTCAAATTTCAAAATCAATGGTGGCACATAGGATTACAAAATGCACTCAATTTTTGATTTCCTAAAGAAGATTTGTTTGGAATTCGATCCATGTATTGCCTGCATTAGGCCAAACCCACGCTTATTAAAAGTCATCAGTGGAAAAGTATCCCTTTATATTGCGGGAAGTCGATGTGAGTGCTGTGCTGGCTGGAGACTATCATACAGGCTATTTAAAGGGGTTTACTGCAGACGTCAGTGTACTAGCGTCCCCGAAGATGTGCGCTTGCACGAAACACGTCAGGGCGGAGCTAAGCGCTGACATCACGTCACCAGTTCCAGCACCAGAAGTTTTGGTAAGTGCAGTTATTTGGTTTTATTGATCCATGTGCTGAACACTTTTCTCCCATATAGTTGGAGGTGTGCGTGACTCGGTTCACTCTAATGTTGCTTGCTGCTGCCAGGAGATTCCGGTTGGATGGATGGAGCTGGATGACCATATAGGAAGGACGTGATTGATTGTTTCAAACACTCTACTTGCTGCATTGGCAGTTTTGGAGCTGGTGGGTGTGGTATTACTCTAAGTCACAAGTGGTGTAGAACTATCTGGATGGTGGAAATCATACACAGACACTTTGAATTTAAAAGGACTTTTATTTATTTTGTTGTTTCTAGACATGTGTAGTTTGTTTTGTTCCAAATCGAAATTTGGATGATATTTTCATTACTTGGAGATTTGAATGTATCCGCATTTCTGAATTACAATAATAATGAATTTAAACAAATCTAAAATAACGAATTATCAGAATTCAAATAGAATTTTGTAACAAATTTGAAAATGAAATAGAATTTGAAAAAAAATTTGAAATGTAAACATTTTTCTGACTATTGCTGATTTCCTTCAGCCCTTGTTCACACTGATGCGGTGTGGAATTTGTAGTGTTTTCTGTGCGAATACCGCACCACATTAGAATCACACCCCGTTCATGCCAATCACTGCAGATGTGTATGTTAAGTTGACAACACCCCGAAAGCGGTCCGCAAAACGCAGTGCAATGTGTAGAATCAGATCGCATAGGTGTGAATATCCATGCGATCTGATTCTAGTGTGGACCAAAAAAGGGCACTGCACATTTTTGGTGTGGGTGTGGTGCAATTCAAGCCATAAAAAAAATGTATGGCTCCAATTGCGCCGCACACAAATCGCATGTGATTTGCACAGAATGCGGTGCTGTTCCTGTGCGAATCACATGTGATATACTGCACCACATATATGTGAACCCAGGCTCAAAGACTGTGTGTATTAGAATACAGCTGTCTTTCGAATTTTGAAAAAATAGTATAGAATAAAACAGAATAGAATAGAATATAAAAAAAAGTAATAGAATATAAAATAAAGTAATAGAATAGAATATAAAATACAAGAATAGAATAGAGTAAAATAGAATAAACTAGAAAAAATATAGCCATCGTATGAAATTCGCAATTCAAAAAGAATAGCATAGAATAGAATAAAATATAAACTAATATAATAGAACAGAAAAAAATAGAATAAAATAGAAAGAATATAGCCATCTTCCAAAATGTGAAATTTGAATACAATAGAATAGAATAAAATAGAATAGGAAAGAAGAACGAGTAAAACAGAATAGAGTATGCGGATGATGCTCTTTTGGTTTTAACCAATCCTCTCATCACTCTCCCCAATTTCCAGGTCATATTGGTCCCTTTTTTGGCTATATCTGGCCTTTGCATCAATTTGTCTAAAACCACAGCATTGAATATTACGCTCCCTGCCGACCTGGTTGAACGGTTGCAGACACAATTTCCCTACCATTGGACATCCCATTCCCTGGCTTATCTTGGCATTACACTTACTACTTCCTACTCTGCCTTATTTTTGGCTAATTATTACCCCTTACTGCGATCTGTTACTTCCCTGCTTCATTCTTGGCAGTTTCCTTCTTTATCATGGATTGGCCGGATACATGCTGTCAAGATGACTATCTTGCCAAAGATCCTGTACTTTTTTCACGCTCTCCCTATTCAGGTCCCTGCGTTTTTTCTTTGTGTAATGCAAAGCCGGATTCTCTGTTTTATTTGGGCTCATAAATGTCCCAGAGTGCCTAGATTCGCTCTGTATACTCATAGACTACAGGGAGGTTTGGGAGTCCCACATGTTTCTAGATACTACTTGGCAGCTCAAATTTCCCAGTTGTCCATGCTTCATGCCATGACGGATATCCCATTATGGGTACTCTTGGAATTACCCAACTGTGCTCTGCTTTCCTTAACTACATTGCTTTGGCTCCTGCATAAGTTGCCCCCTCCATACCTGAGCCCTATCATGCTTCACAGTTTACGAACCTGGGATTCTGTTAGATATTCAGGTAATTTGATATCATCGTTTCTACCTCTTTTGCCGATTACGCATTATCCTTTAGTTCCACCAGGCTTAGAACATCCCCCTTTCTCTTAGTGGACCTCCCATGGCTTTGTTATTGTACATGATTTTCTGAGCGCTCGTTCGTTTCCATCATGGGTGTCTTTTTGAGAATTACGTAGGGTCCTGCCGCGGGAA